GCCCACCTGCCCCGCGCAGCCCGGACTCCAGCGCCAGGTGTCGCGCTGGCACCTGCAATCCCGAGGGGCACGACTCTGACACGCTGTCGGGCGCCGCCGGGGCCACCGCAGCCAGGGACACGCCGCGGCAGCGGCACAAACACTCTCGGCCGCGCGTGCGGCAGGAGCGGCCTGGGGCGTCACCGCATCCACACGGCTCGGCTGAACCCCGGCAGAGGCGGGACTGAGCGGTCACTCGGGCGGGGGCGCCGAGCAGCCGCAGCCAGAGGGACGGACGTCTCTCCACCCCGGGCACAACCCGCGGGGCGCTCAGGCGCAGTCACCAAGGGCGCGGCACGCTGCCCAGCCGCCTCCCCCTCCCGCTGGCCTGGCTGCCTCTGCTTGGCCGGGCTCCGGGGCAGTCACCGGCAGGAGTGGCCACTGTCCAGCAGAAGCACCGCCAGGCGGGACCGCGCCCTAGAGTCACCCCAGCAACCGCCACGTGAGCCCGACGCCTCTTCGCAGGCCCAGGACGCGCCGGACACAGAACGTCTCCGCTAGGCCAAGCGGCTCCCGGCGCCGGCCCCTCCTGCACGGGGCTCGCCGTCCAGCTTCTCGCTCCGCTCCCACTGCCCTTGACGTAAAACACCACCCGAGGGCCTGCCCACGCCTCCACTCGCCCCCAGCTCCACCTGGCCCTGGCGCTGGGCCAACACCAGTGGCCAGACCTGGCACTTTGCACTCCTGGAACCGTGTCGAGGACCCCGGCCTCTCGGAGGGCCGGCTGGGCCCCAGGACACCCCACGGCGCGCCTGTCCCACCGCCCCGGCCTGGGAGCCCGCGCGGCCCCCACCCACAGCAGCGGCCTGTACCCTGAGGACCGGCGCGGGCAATGACCCACGTGCCCGGGCTGCTGTCTGACCGCAGCGCACACAGCGTGTTTCGTGGGAACGTCACCCCCGAGGTCAGTGTCCAGGGCTCAGGACAAAGCGCCGGCGGCCGACAGGGAGGTGACCTGCGGCCGCGCGGCGGGGAAGCCGCTGTCACGCAGACGGTGGGACCGTTACCTGGGGTCACAGTGAGCTGGAAGCAGTGGAGCTGGTTGGGGTCAGGAAAATGCACTTTGCACGTACCTGCAAGAGACAGCGGTCGGGGAGGCTGGGCACCAGAGGGCGGAGGGCCCCGCTGCGCTGGCCCGGGGCCCCGGGCCCAGCCGACCCGTCCCAGCCCACGAGGGCTGGCGCGGAACAGGCGGCCTGTTCACTTCAAGAGCCACGCGATTTTATGCGCACAGGAGAAGCCGGCCGCGGGGCCTGGCACACACCGGCCCGCGCAGGAGCCCACCTGCGGGCGCCCCCCAGGTGCCCACGGCACTCTCCTTCAAACGCCCTCCCGGAGCGAATGGAAGGCAGCTCTGCTGGGGACGTGCATCGGGACTGGACAGCGACAGGGTCACGGGATGGGGGGCAGTGGGCGCCGGCCGCACCTGCACTCACCCTACCAGCCGCGACCCTGGAGAAGGCAACAGCCAAGGGCCAGGTGCCGGGATGGGGAGGGGCCGACGCAGACCCCAAGTCCGGGCGGAGGAGACGCTCCCACCCGGGTCTGCTCCTTCCCGGCCCGGGGCAGGGCACGGCCGC